TGGAAATTATGCAACATACTTAAAATCAATGAAACTGCAGAAAAGAAACATCCATTTATGCAAAAACTGGCACCACACTAGACATTCAGTTTCTCATCCTCTTTTTATATACACACACACACACACACACACACACACACACACACACACACACACACACACATAGTGTGTGTATACAACCATGCACATATGTGCACACAATGCAGAAATAAGAGATTCCTCCTTTTATAGGCAAGTTTCATTTTTTTTAACAATTGATGTTTCTTTCTAGCATTTGAAGTGAGGAAATAGTTACCATTGAAGTCCTGTTGAGCAGGATTAAGCTAATTATTTAATTTCACAGTCTAAGAGTTATAAGGTTGTTTCTGGAGCAATGAGATGATTTAACCATTAATATTTTTTTTAAAGGAATTTTTACTCCGGAGCAACATTTGCGATTTTTGGAATTTTATAAGAAACTTTGCACGCTGGGTTTGCAGCAGGAAAATGGACACAGTGATAATCAGATACAATTTCAAACATTAGAACAGGAAAAGAAGTATATATCAGTGAGGAAGAATTGTGCTTACAACTTTCCAGTAAGTTAAATGCTATTCTCTATGAATTACATTGGGTGCGTAGTTACCCATATCATAACCCCTGTGAAAAAAATCAAGTAAAGTGGCTTAAAGCAGGGCTTCTCTTTTAAAAACCTGCAAGCAAGAACACCTAATGTTTTAAACCACAGAAACTCTTGCTTAATTTTGACCAAGAAACTGGTCTCATCCTTTCCAATATACTGTTCCCTCAAAGCCCTTGTACAATGCCAGTGAAACAACAGCTGCAGAACAGAGTCTATATTTGTTGGGTCTCCGGTTACTGAGACCATGTGTTCTGCAGAACTGGCTTTCCAGGATTTGCCCCTGCATAAGATATACGTACATATTAAAAGTTAAACCTGTATATATAAAAATAAGATCTTGATGCCTAAAACTACAGCTTCTGTTAGCCTGCTTTCTATTTTGAATGTTTGAACTTACATTTAAAGCAAAATGTATTCGTACTTAAAATGATCACCGAATAATTTTTATGTTGGCTTTAAAAATGTGCCAAGGGATGTGGCAAGTAATTTTTTGGTTTACATCAGTAAATACAAGTTTTGCGCATGTAATTTCAGCAGCTGTTTTGTTTTGGAGGTGTTTCAGTGCCTGAAACACTGAATCTGAAACGGAAGGCTCCAAAACTTCTCTGAAACGAAACAAAACCATCTGAAACGTTTTGGAAATGTTTAGGAGGCGTCGCCAGAAAGAGTCGAGCACAACCCCACAGCCCTCCTTTTAAAGTGCCAGGAGGCTGGGGCCAGGGGGGGATGGGGCTCAGCAGGGCAGGCATGGGGGCTTCTCCTGCAACTCCCCCTGCCAGGGCAGAGGCAGACACAGCCAGAGGAGCTGTGGGAGAAACTCCCATGGCTGCCCTACCTGGCCCCAGCCTTCTGGCACTTCAAAAAAAAAAAAAAAAAAAAAGCCCTGCACTCATCGGCTGTAGCAGTGGCAATCAGGGCCTCTGAGGGCTTGTGGTAGAGCCTCCCTGCACAGTGCGGCGCAGTGTGGGGCAGCAGGGATCACTCCCCTCCCCCCCCCCACCTGGCACCTGTGGGGCAGCTGCCCACTGGCACGGGTGCAGCACAGCTGGCAGGGCACTGCGCACTGTCTGGGAGCTGGGGCTGAGCGCTGCTGGGCTTCGGCTGTCTGCTGGAGTGGCCCCAGCTTCTAGACAGCACACGGCGCCCTGCCAAGCCACTCTGTACCCATGCGATGCGACAGCTGCTTTGTAGGTGCTGGGGGGGGGGATGTGATCCCCGCTGCCCCCCACTGCCCTGTACTGTGCTGGGGGGCTCTGCCACGAGCCTCCAGAGGCCCTGTTTGCCGCTGCTACAGCTGGTAAATGCAGGGCTTTTTTTTGAAGTGCTGAGAAGCTGGGGCCAGGCAGGGCAGTCATGGGGGCTTCTCCCACGGCTCCTCTGGCTGTGCCTGCTTCTCCCTGAGTGGGGGGAGCCGTGGCAGAAGCCCCCATGGCTGCCCTGCCCGGCCTGGCCCCATCCCCTGCCCAGCTCAGTCTCCTGACATTTAAAATAACCAAAAAAAAAGAAAAAAGAAAAACAAACCCTGCACTTGCCAGCTGTAGCAGCAGCCTCTAGGGGCTGATCGCCCCCCTGCTTGGCACCCACATGGCAGCTGTTGCATCACACGGGTGCAGTGCTGCTCAGCAGGGCGTCGTGCACTGTCTGGGAGCTGGGGTGGCCCCACGTCAGCTGGAGCCCAGCAGTGCTAGACTGCAGCGACCTCAGCTCCCAGACAGCACGCAGTACCCTGCTGTGCTGCACCTGTGCCGTGGGGCAGCTGCCATGTGGGTGCCAGGCAAGGATGATTCCTGCTGCCCCCCCCCCCC